TCGAGAAATTCTCGGGGCTTTGCCTCCTGGACCTCTGGCAGGGACACTGTCCTGCAACTTCCGTCATGGGCCCCTGGACCCCATGATCCCCCATCTGTAAAGAGAATGGGTTCCCGAGACTACCCTCACACAGTTGTATAAAAATGTCCTTAATTTTCTTTCACTGTATTTTTTTTATTGATCTATTCTGATTGTAAATGAGTGTGTGTTTCTACCGCTCGAGACGCTCTTGAATGTTCTGAATTGCTAAAACTCGATAGCGTCCCTGGGCTTCGATCGCCTCCTTCAAAAACTCTGCCCCTGCACCCCATGAACCCAGAAAGGTGTCGCTGTTGTTTGTAGAGACTCTAAGCCTAAGCATTATCCATGATGGAGGCAGGGGCGGCCGAGCGACTTTTAAAGTGGGGGGGGGGCACCAACAAAAAAGGGCACTTTCTGGAAAAAAGGGCACCTACAGTGGGAAATCTCAAAGCGAAAATATAAAATTTTAGACATTGGTTTATACCCCTACATTGTGATGACATTATCAGGGATGATTTCAATATTTGTTTCTCTTCATACATCATACAAGATATCGCTTAAGCATCAAACTTTACAGTTGGGTGTGATGTCTGAATATGCATTTACGAGCGAGCGAAGCGAGCGAGAAAATTTTTAAAGATCTGTGAGGTCGCAGTGCGAAAAATTACATCTTATAAAGAGGAAAAAAGCCAATCGTGATGGGGTTATAAGCACATTCTCATAACGGAAGACTGAAAAGACCTTTGATAAGTAACATAATTATATAATCTTTAAATGCGAGCGAGCGCAGAGAGCGAATTTTGGGGGAAACTGCTCTTAGTCGCTTTAAATAAGGGGCACGTTTAATGATTACATGAAAAGGGGACAATTATCGAAAGGGATAAGACACTTATTAGAAAAGAAAAGGAGCACGTGTATAAGTACAAAGGATAATTATAAGAGGTGAAAATGAGGCATTTTTTCACTTGAAAAGAGGCACTCACCAGTGATGAAAAGGAGGCGTTTACGAAAATGGGAAATAGGCATTTGTTGACGGAAAAGGGGCACCCATCAGATTTTAATAGGGTCATTTATAAGAGGTGAAAAGGGGATAGGTCCCTTATTAGAAAGGAAAAGGGACACGTATCATTATTAAAAGGGAAATTATCAGAGTTGCAAAGGGGCACTGACCAGATATGAAAAGGGGCACTTATGAAAATGTAAAAGGGGCACTTATAATAAAGGAAAATGTGCATTTGTTGAATGAAAAGGGGGCACCGTTCAGATGTTTAAAAGAGGCAGTTATGAGAAGGGGAAGGGGAAGTTATGAGAAGGGGAAGGAGCTCTCTCTTTTTAATGGGGGCACTTATCATAAGGAAAAGGGGCACTTATTAGAAAGGGAAAGGGGAAGTTATGAGAAGAGGAAGGAGCTCTCTCTTTTTAATGGGGGCACTTATCATAAGGAAAAGGGGCACTTATTAGAAAATAAGAGGGGCACATGTTAAAATGAAAGGTGCGCTCATCCGAGTTTAAAAAAGGGGTAGTTATTAAAAAGAGAAGGGGCACTTCTTACAAAGGAAAAAAGGGGAAGTTGTCAAAGTAAAAAGAGCACCTCTCAGTTTTGAATAGGGCAATCATCAGAGGTGAAGGGGGCACTTATTAAAAGTGAAAAGGGGCACTTCTCGTACCTGAAAAGAGGCACTTACTAGAGATTAAAAAGGGCACTTATTCAAGATAATTTCAAGATTCATGAGAATGGAAAATGAACATTTATTGCAAAGGAAAATGGGAACATGTCGAAAGAAAAGGGGCACGTGTCAAAAATAAAAAGGGCACTCGTCAGAGGTGAAAAGGGGAAAGGGGCACTTTTACTAAGTAATAGAGGCACTTGTCAAAGTAAAAGGGGCACCTTTCCTATGTAAAAGGGGCACTTCTTACTAAATAAAAGGGGCACTTTTCCTATGTAAAAAGGGGCATTTTGGGGGTATCTGAAAAAGTGGGGGGGGGCACTGTGCCCCCCCCCCCCCCCCGCCTGGATCCGCCACTGCCTAGGGAGGTAGTCGTCTAGGCGTCCTAGACTCCTTGAGGGTAGTTGTCCTAGCTAGAAAGTGGTTATCCTATATAAAATAATATATAAAATGAACGCCTCTCCTTTCATTCAAAGATCAGTTGAACCTCATGAATATGAATGACATTATTTACATACAAACTGTACCGGACACGTGGCAGAAAAATATCATGTTTATTCATGAGGTACTTAGACGATCGACCAGACAGCACTCTACTCTAATAAACTCGCCTTCAATTTACCTCGGCCCTAAATCTACAAAAAATAAAACCTTGCACGACCCCAAATCGAACAAACAAATAAACAAGAAGCAAAATGGATCGAGTTGATATACTTCCCAGAATGAACCATTTTTAAACGAAATCATTGTTTAGAGTAGTCTTTGAAATAATTATGTCAAAGAGTTTAAAGGTACTATGTCCCATTTGCAGGCCAAAAAATGAAAAAGTTAAATTCCAACTGCATTTGAAAGATAATACTAATTTAGAACTTCCCTAAAAATGGTGGGGCTTGAAAATATCTTCAAGTGGGAAAATAACGACTATTAGTTGTCAAATCGACTTTAGGGCTACAGAGCCCAAAAGTAATAGTCTTGATTTTCAGACAATTGTACCGAATGGTCATACGTTTTATGCTGCGCAAAGATTCAATCAGTTTAATCTTGGCCATCACAAGAAGTGGGTTATTGATGTAGACAAATGCTTATGTACCCTTTACAACTCTTTTCATGTATGTTCTTACCAAAGAAGAAAAAAAAGCCAGTCAGTCACTCAATAGTGTCTGACAGTGAAGTCTAGCAAGTAAACGGGTTTCCTTGCATAATTCGAATATGAGGACACTGCTAACGTTTAAATTTCACAGATATGACATACATGACTTATTCATAATTCCTGCAAAGTTCTACAGAATTTGAGGTTGGCTGCAAAAGGGACATAGTATCTTTAAAGGTAAAGACCAGTATTGGAAACGCCCCAATTTCAAAAAATGAAATGGAAGCTCTCATTACCAATCATGTGAAAGAATATGTTTTAACTAATACATGATGATAAAAAATTTGCCGGGAAACCGTCTACTAATTCATATATTTGGTAAATTTGTTCCTCTCATGGTCTGTGAGAGATATAGGGGAGTCCCAACATCTTTCTGTGTATAGTGCTTGTAACTTTACGAAGAATGGGCCAAATTTCTTATCATTTTGATGATTCCAGAACCTTGCAGATGCTAAATGCTAGATGATCAACCTTTTCTGATCGATTCCACAACGTTTCTTTCACAATTCAATCGCATGACCATAACTGGTCTTTACCTTTAAGGGACATTGAAAAACTAACAAACAGAAGCATTAGTTGCACTGCAAGTATCCAACACGGAACCGCATTTTTTTAAGGTTCGAACTGGTAGTGATAGAAAAATAAAATCTCACTGAATGTTAAAAATTACAAATAAATGACATGTGCCAAACGATTTTGGTATAGGGGCTTAGTAATGAGCATAGAAAGATAAGGAAATCAAGGTAAGTATAAGCCCGACACCATTGTGCTCAACATGGGTCACTATGTGCAAATGAGAGTGCGGCTTTTATTGAAGATTATTTCCAGCAAGTTTTTGTGAGTTTTTTCTTATTTCACTGGTTCAAAAAACTAATCTACTGCAGGATAAACAATCCAGAATGACACCTATACCCCCTGGACAACCATGCTTCGGTTAACTACCCCTAGAAAACCAGGCGCCCATCCTCAGGGGGGGGGGGGGGGGGGCGACGGGTGAGCACTATTTTATTGGGGGGCCCGAAAATTTGAAAAAACGCACCCCCCCGCCCTTGAGCGCCAGGGGGGGGGCATCTTAAAAAAAAGGTAAAATTAACGGGGGTTTTCCCCAAATGGGTCCCCCTGGACCTCTTTCTTTAATTTTTTTAATTTAAAATTATAAAAAAACGCTTTGATATAATTTGTTGTAGTTAATGCTCATACAACCTCCACCCCCCCCCTCCTAGTGGTAGTTGTCTGGGGATAGTTGTCCGGGAGTAGTTGTCCTAGGAGTCGTCCGAGAGGGTTACCGTAGTACATTATAGATGGTGGTTATCCTGTGGTTTTCCGGGGGTGGGTGTCCAGGGGGGGGGGGTAGTTGTCTGGGGGCAGATGTCCTAGGGGTCAGTTGTCCGAAAGGTAGTTGCCCTAGAGGGTGGCTGTCCTAGGTGTAGTTGTCCTAGGGACAGACGCGGATCCAGGATTTCTTAGGGGTAGGGGCCCAAATTTGAAATCAATTTTAAATTTAGTGTGCTGAAATTTGAAAATCGTGCCTGCCAAAATTTCGCTCAGTGGTGGGGGGGGGGGGGAGTCAGCACTACTTTATTGGGGGACCCGAAAATTTGAAAAATCGCACCCCCCCCCCCCTTGAGCGCCAGGGGGGGGGGGGGGGCATCTAAAAAAAGAGGTACAATTAACGGGTTTTTACACGGGTTTTTTCCTAAATGGGCCGGTCCCCCAGGCCCCCCCCCCCGCCTGGATCCGCCACTGCCTAGGGAGGTAGTCGTCTAGGCGTCCTAGACTCCTTGAGGGTAGTTGTCCTAGCTAGAATGTGGTTATCCTAGGGTTGGTTTCTCCTCGTTTGGTTCCTAACGGAACGTTGAGGAGCCTATACCAAAGAAGAAGAAGAATCAGTAAGAAGATAATATTATTTTGTCTGCGGTACGATTGTATAGCAGTCGTTGTCAGGCTATTCCACAATAATTAAAGTGTATTTTTGTGTTATTTGTTTGTATTGGGAGTCATCAAGAGGGATGACAGAAGGAATAATAATGTGAATACAGATCAGCTAGACCAACTTCGTTCGTCCTCGGTCGGCCGAGTACGATAGGTGAATAGAGCGAGTTATGCTAACGCCGAAATGTTTTCTAGACTCGACGTTAATCTTATTGATAGTTAAATAGCCTACTGAGCGTTGATGTACACAAGCAACTTTCCGTCACGGAGGAAAGTATTCCTCTGGATGTTAGTAAGTCGTTTTTCTTGCTTTATTTGTAATGAAACCTAGATTCTATAAGATCAGTCGAACACCTTGCTTCAATCTGAAAGAAAAACCGTGCTTTAAGAATAGGAAATGACTTGTTTGAGTTTGTATGTTGTGTATGAGTGTGCGTGTTATTGTTCGCCGGGCGAGCTGCCGGAGGCTGAGGCGTCCAGATCCAGGCAGTCGTAGCCGTACCACTGCAGCGAACGCTGAGCTGAGACCCATGCCAGCGCCAGGGCCAGCTCCAGTGAGACGAGTGAGGGGGGCGTGGACATGGATGTGGTCATGTGGATAACATAACTTGTAACTTAGACCGTATCCTTACACTACTTTAATTAGCCTGAAAGACGCCCTAGAAATGTAGAACAGAAAATACATTGTCAATGTACGCTCTCTTCTTTGGCACCTGGGCCTGGGTTTCAAACTCACCACAAAATGATATAGAGTAAAGGAGCCCGTTTTCGGCCACTTAAGACAAAATCCTATTTTTAGGACTCTTTACTTCCTATTTATTATCATTTCTTGTTCAATCATGAAGCAAATATTATTATTATTTAAACAAAAAAAGAATCCCAGAAAAAAATCACGAATTGCCATGACACTATTCATTTCAATTTTCACTGTTTTGGAGCCCGTTATCGGCCGAGCGTTTCAGTTTACGGCCGCATGTACAAAGTCAATAGGAAGCGCTCGCGCGCGCCGTGCGTTTCCGCGCTGATGTACAGCACAAGCGGGCGGAGCAGGTATCCCACGCCGGAGCTCCCTGGTGCTCGCCTGGCCGAAGACGGGCACAGCGGTGATCGGAAGTTGGAATCTGAATTAGACAGAGATATCGTGTGTGCGTCGCGGTGTGCGGCTGCATTGATTTAATACATGCGATGAGATACTTTCGAGCTTGCGACCAGCACAAAATCGGGCTTTGAATCTGAAAAATACTTGAAATAAAGCTCATTTTATGGTACCCATATTTCTTACAGACACGCGTAAGATACTCGATTTTTCAGATTTGGGTAGCGGGACCGGCGATTACATCGCTAAAATGTGATATTTTAGGATATATTTTCCATTGCAAATGTGGTTCTTCAGTGACACTGGCATGGTATGGTTTGTGTGGGATATGTGTTATGCTATTATGCGATGTATTTTAGAGTGATTTTACCTTGCATCCAACCAATCGGCCGAAAACGGGAGCTGGCCGATTACGGGCTCCTTTACTCTAGATCTAGATCTACTAGATCTAGACTAATATATTAAATAGATATCTATCTCACATGTTTTCGATAATAATGAGCTAACAGATGTGATTACCATTATAGTACAGCCAAGCTGACGTCTGACGAGAGTCTGCTATGTTCATTCTGCTGCAATCGCAAATACATGCTGCGTACATGAAAATGTCAGATTTGAGATTTCATATTGCCAATTTGATGCTGACTTTACGATAATAGCTATGAATTTAGTATGCTAAGTTTTGCATAGGGACTTGCAAAATTTACAGACACCCTCCGCACGCGCCTTTTTACACTGATTGTTATTGTTGTAAAGTACGTAGGCCTAAAAGGAAGGCATTTTCGCATACACTGCATGTATTTGCGATTGCACACATCTTCAGTCGTATATTGTACTTAAAACATTGATGTGTGTGTACAATATGTAAATGTATAATTTCAATTTAATATTTCAGGCCGTGTAACCGATGATGGGAAGTAACTGGAAATTGATAGTGTAACACATCAGAAAGATTCCAAGATGGTAGTGAGTAGAATCCTGTCGCTCGCACTCGGCCTCGTTGCCGGAGTGATGTTTGCCATCATTTGGAGCAAGTACGAAGACTACTCGACTGTTCTCGACACCAAATTCAAATCTCATTTCAGGTTAGAAGATGATAAGGAACATAGAATAGAGAGGATGACAGGAATCCAGCGTGGACAAAAAACAAACAATATGAGCCACAGTGGCAGTGTTCAAGCAGGAATCGGCAAAGAGCCATTAAAATACGGGGTCGGTGGAAACAGTTTCTATCTCAAATTTGATAAACCACTCCCGAATTCCGCCACGGGATCCCTGAAAGCGAAGGAACAACTCGAGCTGGCAAGTTGGGAGATGTTTGATCCTGAACATGATGCCGATAAGTTAAAGTCAGCCTTATCAGTCTTTTGCGTCATCACGATCGGGAAATCAAGTATAAATTCGTTTGGTAAATCTTCGTTTCAGTCATGGACGTCGCACTGCAATGACTTTGTCATGTTGAGCAATACAGACGACGAGAAATATAATGTGAAGAATGCCGGCCTGCCTGAGGGGCCTGCAAATTCATGGGAGCGGACGAAGAAGGTCATGAGCTACGTTGTAAGCAACCACCCTGATTATGACTGGTACGTGAAGGTAGAACATGATACCTTTTTAGTCGTGGAAAACTTTCGCTACATGCTGCTTATGCACCAGTCACGGATCCAGGGCTTCGCAGGGCACGTCTTAACCAGTACAAACCAGCGCGGTTCCATAGTGGCTCTGAGCAAAGAGGCCGCCGTCAAAGCCGTAGAGATCTTTCCGGAGTGTGGAAGCCGCTATGGAGGTATGCAGGACTTCAATGAGCTTGAAGCATGCCTGAAAAGAGCTGGAATCTCATCGAGTCAAGATGGTCGAGATGGCGATGGGGTCAGTCGTTTCCAGATGGTTCTAGTGAAACCTTCATTACCGATGAATGCTCACCAGTCCTTAGACTGGGCATGGAGATATATTGACAATCCAGAGAAAATGGTAAGTTTGACTCAACACCAGCAAATAAAGTACATGTACATGTATACAGTCCTGCTTGGTTTTTGGCGACGATTGCTCTGCATTCACTACATGTATCTAACACTAAGCAAACTCCATGGCCCGAATTCACAAAGAAGGTTTGTCGACAAACCAAGGTTTTCGTGCGTCAATTGACGCATTTTGACGCATTTTTACAAACCAGGTTTGTAAAAAATGCGTCATAACGCGTCATATGACGTACATAAACCAAGGTTTGTCAACAAACCTCCTTTGTGAATTCGGGCCTTTATCTTTAACCATGGACCAGATACTATACATGTACCTGTGCCTTAGTTCTAATCCTTAATTAATAAAAACCCAATAAATGTATCCTGTTCACAAATGTATTTCAATTTACACGTGTATACTCTCTCAAACTCTTGGTTACCAGCTATTTGATTAACCTATGCATAATAACATCTCTGTTAATGGAATGTCAGGACTCAGTAGCCTCTGGCAAGCTTTAGTCATCAAGAGAAACTTTTGTATAAAAAGCATGCAAAAATTAGTAAACAAATCTAACCCATGTTGAAGGCTAAAACAGATTTTGAGGCTTTTCTGTCAAATTTAATTAATAATGAATTTCCAGAGATGAGTTTTACATGCATCATGATATCTTGACAATGTTCACTATATCCATGCTAATTTTTTCAAGGATATTATTCTTTGTAGTGTGTGTACGGTATACAGTAAAAGTGTACATCCAAGGTTGTCTTCTTTTGGGGGAGAATAGAGTGGGGAAGTGTGACGTCATCAAAAATCTATTTCCTATAGGAACTCAGTGTTTTATTGCTCTGGCTCATAACATTATGAGCCACATCAATATAACACTGAGTTCCTATCGGATATATTTTTATTCAGATTGTCATATCTCAGCCAATACTTAACATATTCAATTGGTTTTCGACATTTGGACATAATTTTTTTAATGGTCTTTCAGAAAATGAAGAAAAAATTGAGAAATTCCCAATTTTTATGATGACACAGGGTAAGGCTGTTGATAATCTGTCAACAAAATGAGCTCCAGCTCCTACATGTACATGTATGTTTAATAATTTGTTGTAATTTTTCATTTTGTTTGGGCTGTTTAGGGACAAGAGGACTGCTGTCGAGACTACCCTGTAAGCTTTCACAACCTGAGACCAAACACTCTATACCTAATGGACTACATGGTCTACCATATGAGACCCTTTGGAATCGGCAACTATGCCTGCACAGCGGAGCAGAAGGCAGCAGAGATTGAATAGCCCTAAAGCCACCCTAAATCTTTTGCAATTGGAAAAAAAAGTTATAAACTACAACTTTGCAAACAAAAATCTAAGGTAATAAACCATGATCCACTCATGATTATGAGTATCAGCATCACAGAAGCGTAGAGCAGCAGAAGTGAGAGAAAGACGCCCTCACACACAGCCTGGTGGAAATCATCGGAATCGATGGATAAACCCACCAACAACAATGTTTATGAGAGTTCATGGGACACCAAAACAACGAGTATTTGAAATTTAATAAAACTACAAGCTGGCATGACTGCAGAGCTGAATGCTTTCGCAAGGCACATAAAACTTTGAGTACTGGTATTTATCGCACTCACCCTATGATCGTTCATGGTTTATAACATCGAGTAAATTTAATCAAGTTCCGTGCGTGAGCTCACGCACGCCAGCTATTCTCCACTCCTGACGACGAATAGTCAACCTGTTCGAAACGTCGAGCCACTCATCCTCTCCAAGCGCTATAGTTAATTCTCCTTAGAACTATAAGCTAAGAAAGATAACCAACAGTCTTTTTCAAGACTACAACAACTGTCCTTTTCAGGACTACACACCCTCAAGAAAGATTACAGAGAGTCCATTTTAGGACTCCACAATCCTCCCTCTCTCTAACATGGTGCACCCGCAAGCCTACATATAATACAGGTAACTGTACCACAGTATTTCAATGATAATTACTGACTCAATTTCCAATAAATGGGACCAAACCGTATCCACAACATAAGGCTTAGTGAGAAAAGATTTGTCATTACTGCCCCTCTTGTTCACAGCTTTAGCAAATGAGAAGGGGTTTTTGTTATAGTTGTAATTTTATATATATTTTAAACTCTGTAACATTTAAAGATGGCCTTACATGTAGATATGTACATAACTTTGTACAATATTAGTTCAAAGTTCTCAACGTAGAATTTCACGTATCCATGTTTCATATTATGTTGTGTATGATATATTATGGTGTATGATATATATTATAGTGTATGATAATATATACATATATATATATATATATATATATATGGTTATCCAGATTATTGGGTTGAATATCTGGGGGGTGTTTCACAAAGATCCAGTTAAACTTATCTCTTAGTTGGACTTAACAATTATGGAAAGCCGTTAGCATCTATGAAAATATTTTGTAAAAGTTATTTTGAATGGCATAAAATGTTGATTAAAATGATTCATATTTTATATTATCAAGGAGATTTCATGTTCTTGATGTGGAATTTATAAAAAGTCTAAAATACTTGAATTTTCACTTTTAAATATATTTTATTTTAAGGCTACAAATGGCTCTCCATAACTTTTAAGTCCAACTTAGAGTTAAGTTTGACTTCAGATTTTTGTGAAACACCCCCCTGCACAGCAGATCCCTATGCCCAGTATAGAAGTGGTTGGAACTTCAACATCAATATAAAGGGTCAGTCATGACTCGTAGGATGACATGTACAAATATACTATATTAAAAGTATGAACTCAAATTATATCTTCTATGAAGAGTACTGTGTGTTTTTACACTCCTGATGAATATAACAATGACTATTTTACACATGTACACTGTATACGCATAGAATAGGGCCCAAGTTGGACTTGGGTTCCAAGCGTGCAGTGTATGTTCTTTATTTTCCTTGCCACTCCTTATCCACTGGCGTATAATGAAGGCTTATTTGATACATTCTAGCCTTGCACAAAATGATTGGTACACTTTAAAAATTAAATCAAATTCAGCACGATTTATTGATTTATCAGCAGTATAGTGTCAGGTGACCTTGAGCTCCCATCATATTGATTATGATTAAGCATGCTGAACAACCGGTATTCTTTTTTATTATTCAATTATTCCACCATATGTGTACATGGAGTGGTGTCAAGGAAAAGGGATCGCTATAACAGCTGACCAAACAATGCAGCTGGAGTGTTTGACAATTGGTAGTGATTGTGCAATGTACTATGATATGTAATTATTAAAGGGAAATTCAATCTAGTTAGAAAACTACTCTAGAAAAAAGCAGAAAATACAGAGAATCATGAAAGTTTGAATGAAATCAGACGAAAAATGAGATAGTTAATGAGTTACACATTTTTGAAAATTACAATCACTATGTATGGGCTCTTCAAATTGGCTGAATAGGTCTATGTGATGTAGTGGCTGACAATTTTCCCATTTTTTCAAACACACAAAATTTCTAAAATTTCAAATTTTCAAAATTGTATGACTCGTGACGGTCTTCTCTTTTTAGAGGACCTGTAATAATATACTCTCCATCATATATTTTGAGTAGTGCCTCAAGGGTGAAGGCACTTTGGAGAAAAAGGGATTTTAGGGATTTTTTTAGGGGGGTTCACACATATAAGAATACCAAAGGGGGGGTTTAACCCCCCAAACACCCCCCCCCCCCCCCCCCTGCGTACACGCCTGTATCCGTCGCAATGTCCACTGACAAAATTGCCAATTTAAGATTAACATAGCTGAAGTTATCTCATATTTCAAACACTCATAACTGTCTCATTATTCGTCGGATTTGTTTCAAACTTTCGCCATTCTGTTTTTCTAAATTTTCTGCTTTCACTTAAATGAACTTTTTACAAGGGTTAATGGGTTGCCATATATATTCCCTCTCATTCATTCTCTGATTTTTTTAAAAATTTGTAAATGTAGTAATTGAATAAATTATTTTTAGTTTTTACAATTTTGTTGTACATTTCATGAACATTTATAATGTTATTCCACCATAGACTGCACGCCAAAGTCATGTTTGTTTGTAGTCTTATTTTTTTTTGGTCATGAATTATATTTATTCACGACATATTTGATGAATGTAGTACTAGGTATGGATTGCCAGTATTTGTGTAGTTATTTGCTCAAACTTATACCCCTATTTTAATGTGTACCAAGCACACAAACATGTTTTGCTCTTGGTGTATAAATGGGTTCTATGTGGCTGCACTGTATTCAAATTATGAGTGTCAAGTATTACTTCTGCAAAGAGATGTTGGAATTTAAATACGTTCTCAGTGAACAATAACATGTCTTGTTGAGTATACGCATAAAATGTACGTACACACTTGCATACATGTTCATTTTGTAGGCTACAGTAGGTCAGATTTGGGTTCTGTGCGAGGCCTATTCGCAGGTTTATTTTATCCTTTATTTTCTTCATACTCCTTAAAAGTTTACCTATAAAATGCCAGGAAAAGGGTTTTTTAGGTTCATTTATTCCATTTCTAGCCATACACACATATTATAATTTCCAGGTGATTGGTGCAATCAAAAGAAAAAAGTACATGTACATTCATGCATGTAAATGTATTTCAAGTACCGTAGTATATGTATCTCATCGAGAAATACACTTTTGCTCCTGTGTCATCAGAGAAAATGTGTTTACATATATAAGAGTCTGTCTTTTTATATCATAAGTTGTCTTTTTGTTATGTTCTTTTATTTGTTTTATTAAAGGTAATACAAAGTTTTGGTATGGGGTCATGAATTTGGTTCAAATGAACATATTGGAAGCATATGCGATCCTATAATATTCAGTGATCGTTGTCGCGGTTGAAATCGAGTCTAAAGTTATTAAATTGTAAATAATAAACTCTACATGTTGTATAGCTCCCTCTCAAGGTCATGATATTAATTTTCAAAAATTCCCAAAACTTTGTATTACCTTTAATGCAAATAATTGACCAATGAAAATTGTATTTTATATGAAGATTTTATTCTATTACATGGTATTGCATGAAACTGATGAAAATATTTTTATTTTCTCAAATGATAGGTAATTGCATCAATGAGCACGCCACAAAGCTCATGAATAAATTCCACTATATATAGTACAGTTGTACAGTAGTTAAGCAATGGTCATTAAAATGAAGAAGAAAGAAGAAAAAAAAATGCATTTCATTTTGCCATAGTAGAGGCTCATTCAGACGTTCAGATATGTGACGTGGCAAAGCTGCAGTGTTTTTTTTTAAGATTAAATGATGGTTTAACGTGTGATAACTTCACATTTCTGTTTATTATAACACAGCTAGAGCTCAAGTCCTTTGTTGCACACATCAGTCATTCATGTGTACATGTGTGCAGCGGTTTACTGCACCATATATCTGATCAATCCTTATTTGTTCAGACTTAGAGCAAATTGTTATTTAACTCACAGCAATAAAAGTTACAGAATGTGAAGAGTGCATGTTCATCTTGGTGGACTTTAGCCAAATTCTGTGCAATTGTTCAGTGTACAATGGACGTTTTTAGATCAGACAGTGAATGAAACCTATTACACTGTACCAATTACTGCCAGTTAATGGCATTAGCATTTAGCAGCCAGTAATTGGAAAGGTTTCCCAAACAAACAATTTACAGCTGTAAATTTGAGATGTGTGTTATGCTTATTTCTGCAATTTAAATGTTTATAATTAGCAATCATAACGATGCAGCATTATCTTAATTCTTCTGTAGAATACATGAATACTCCCAATTAGGATACTGATTGAATTTAGTGGTGTGTTTGCATAAATCATAAGGGAGCATTTTGTTACTGCTCCTAAATTTGAGTAATTTCTTTGGCTGCTAAAATCATTCATTAAATATATAATCAAAGACAATCTTTATGAAAAGTACCATGCACTTCTGATTGTTATAAATTGGCAAGAACTTATGTCAACTTTTAAGACTTTCTCCAACCTTCAAATGTCTCACAATCCTATCGTCTACTCTTAAAGGGGAAGTCCACCCTGATATTTTGTTGGTTTTTTATAAAATCAGCACAATTAAAGAAACAGTTTAGTGAAAGTTTGAGCAAAGCCTGATTGATTCTTTTAAAAAGGGATAGATTCTTGTAGTTGTAATCAATTAGTCACAAATTGGCAACTTTCTAACACACTTTTTTAGGTCCTACCAATTTGCTTGGTAATTTTTTTCAATGTTAATTTTTGTTAATAATGAAGGAATAGATTTGTTTATACAAAGGTTATGTGATTATATCTAGGTTGCTTGTACGATGAAAATTTTCTTTATACAAAAAAGAAGAAGATTTCTTTAGTAAAGGGCAAATGGGAGGGAACCTTGCAAGATATATCACAGGGTTGCCAATATGATTTATTTGGTTTTGATTAAATCTTTAATCAAATTTTGCTAAAACTTTCATTTATGTGTTTCTATTACAAAATTTACAATGAACTAAATATCGAGTTGGACTTCCCTTTTAGTCTAGTGCCTTAATAGCAATGTTTATCCTCAGATCTTTGTGATTGTTTTATTTTTCTTTTGTAACATCTTTGCCAAAATTCCATTTTGAAGTCCCTACAGATTTAGTTCAAGAAATAACCATTCCTGTATCATGTCTTTCTTTGTTAATTTTTTTTATAATGACTTAAGTTGTTTCTATTCCTGTGCAATTTCATGTGTATATATTTTGCTTTATTAATGTGTGAACATCCTGGTGTGAAGTTGATTTGTCCTTGTTTAGTGTGTAAAATATGCCAATTGCCAATTTCTTGTAGTAAATTTGAAAAAAGTGTATTTCTTTTAAAATTTTGACATTGCTGGGTTAGAATTGTAATAGTTTATTGGTCCCAAATGTGATTCAAATGAAAGAAAAATTATTTATCATTCATGATGTATTATAGTATATCTACTGTAGCTATTATGCCTAAAGACAGTGTGGATATGTGGATCTAGTATTTATAAACTACCGTGGTACCATCCCTTTATGTCATAAGATTTCTTTTCTCATAAAATTTTTATATTCATATATGATATATCTTGTTCTCATAGAATTTCCTCACTTTTTCGCGTTCTTTGTGAAAAAAGAAGATTTATCGATAATGTTTTTGAATATTGCCAAGTGAAGGATTTTTTTCTGACATGTTAATCAGTCTTTTGTACAAGGAATCTATAGTTAAAGATGAAGTTGAGTTCTGGTCATGCGATTGCATTGTGAAAGAAACGGTGTGGAAAAGGTTGATCATCTAGCATATAAGTATTGGTGTGTATTGCAAGGTTCTGGAATCATCAAAATGATAAGAAATTGGCCAAGTCTTGGTAAAGTTACAAACACTGTACACAGAAATATGTATATGGGACTACATGAACACCCCAAGTTTTACGATGTACATGACATATTTAGAATATGAAGGCATTTGAAGAGCCATGCTTTTCAGGGAACATGTCTTATCTGATGTTCTTCCACACTTGCATAATATGAATGATAACGCTCACAAATTATTTTTCACCTCTTCCCAGAACTCAACCTTCTCTTTAAAAAAGAAAAAAACGTTAGAAGTGTTCGAAGTCTTGGAGAGCTTCCTTATATCCAGATGTATATTCCTGTTAGATAGCCATTTGTGAGCATCTTTGTTTTCCATTTTGATGTTAGACTCTTTATAGAGTACCAAAGCTGTGACATAATATAAATCTATTTTTAGAATTTCTCATTTTTTTCCTTCATTTCCCAAGAGAGCATCACAAATAATGTCCAAATGTCGAAGTATTGGCTGAGATATGACCATCTGAATAAAAAGATTTCCTATATTATATGTGCTCAGTTTTATTTTGCTCTGGTTCGTAATGTTATGAACCAGAGCAAAATAACACTGAGTTAATTCCTATAGGAAATCTATTCATTCAGGTGGTCATATCTCAGCCAATATACTTACCATATTCAATTGGTTTTCAAATTTTGGACGTTATATTTGTTGTTCTTTCGGAAAATGAAAAAAAAAAATTGATAAATTCTAAAAATAGATTTTTGATGATGTCACACTTCACCACTCTATAAGGACCGCTATTTATAAAAGACCGCTATTCATTCACGTGTTATAGATAGCGATCCTTATGGATAGCGAGCTTGACCCAATATAGTTTAAAAATGTAGATTGGTTTTTTGATTTCGTATATATTCCATTTGATTGTAAGTTTTTAATCTTGCAAGTGTACTTATATAGATTATTATGAAAGAGTTTGTTGATATGAAAAATTACTCTGAATTTACAAATATGTAATCAGTTGCATAAATAAATTGAGACTAAATAAACTTAATGATTTTGTTTGTGTGAGTAATTCTGATTTATTAAAGAAAAAGAAAAAGAAGAAGAATTGATATGACTTAAAAGGTGATAGGTATGCAAATACTGCTTATATTGCGGCAAGCTACCCAGCAAGCTACATCTGAGATATCAACCCCCTACCAGAGAGAGAGAGAGAGAGAGAGAGAGAGAGAGAGAGAGAGAGAGAGAGAGAGAAAGGGGGAGGGGGTAGATGGAGAGAGAGAGAGAGAGAGAGAGATAAAGGGGAGGGGTAGATGGAGGGAGAGAGAGAGAGAAAGAGGGAGAGAGGGAGAGAGAGAGAGAGGGGTAGACGGGATCGAGTACGTAGGAAGGACACGGAAAACAATAATGATCAAACCATTTTCTTTCTCTTTTTCTTTTTCGAAGAATACAAGCCACACCATACATTTTAAAGTGTAGATCTATCGCAGGGATCGGCAAAAAATCTTCTAGGATTTGCTGTGAAATGGGGCGTTCTTCTAAAGATAAACGCGATATTTATTATCGTCTTGCTAAGGAAGAAGGGTGGAGAGCTCGTAGTGCATTCAAGTTATTGCAAATAAACGAAGAATATGATATTTTTCAAGGCAAGTATAATAATTTATATTTTAATTTTTATCGCGCTGTGTAAAAATCGTACGGAGCCGAGCTGAGTTCAGTGCAGTGTTAGTAGTGTGTTCGTGTGCGTGTGCATGAGTGAACCCGATATGATGTATTGGAGTCGGGCTAACTCGGACCAGGGGACAACTCGGCCCAGCTGCAAAAACGATCATTTTTTGCATGTTTAGGTTAGGGTTAGGTTTAGGGTTAGGTTTAGGGTTAGGATTAGGGTTAGGGTTAGAGTTAGGGTTAGAGTTCGGGTAAAATGACAAAAAATGACAGTTTTTGCAGCTGAGCCGAGTTGTCCCCTGGTCCGAGTTAGCCCGGATCCGATATATTCATTTGCATTGCCATTGGCCCATCTGTAAGACTAATGCCGAATGGGGCGTTGCAAGAGAGTTGCAATCAATTGCAAATCCCCCAAATCAAGCGTAAGTCTTGCGGATTGATTGCAAATTTGCAATTGATTGCAACTCAACTTTTTGCAACGCCCCATTAAAATTAAGAGAGCGAGATCAGAGAGAGAGGTGGGAGAATAAAGCGTTCGCCATTTGGCACTAGAGGGCGCGCTTGCGCACGATCCTTGTTTATGTATGGAAGGTGTGCTCAATTTTTGGCTGTGAGCATTGGTTTTGACAAGGGTGGATTGATATGTTAATAAAAAAGTAATGAGGTCAATCAGCAAACTTACATGCGTACCTACATTTCTCACAACATACTTGCAGGCTTTAGCAGCTTCTTGCAACTGATTTTGGGTGCTGCCTACTGCTAGAAAGCTGAAATTTCACCTAATTAAGTCAATATTTGCATGCGTTTTGTCATATTATATGCTTCATCCATATTGCGCATCATTTGGTAATCTCAAAGTTTTTAAAAAACAAATTTGAAATGATTTCTTAATATATTTGAAAGAAAGCCGCCGCACACACTAATTGATATATCTTTCAGCACACAAAGTGGGGTTTATGATGGCTACATTTGGATGATCGGCTGCTCGACAGTGGAACCTGAGCGTTTTTAGCAGACGTTGCTGCGGGAGCTGCTATAGATTTTGTGTGTTCTAATCAAAGGTTATAATACTGCCAATAAGTCAATCAATACACATGGTTCCAAAAAGTAAGGAAGTTGTATTTCAAGAAATTTTTAGATTTAGTTTGGGACTTTTCACATGTCTCAAGCTCTAAAGGGTCTGATGGCAGTCATCAATATTTAGTGTGTGCGATACACCAGCGATAGCTTTGTATGGATGATGAAGTTGTTGCCTAATATATCTATGACTGCCCACATTGGGATCTTGGATGTCCAATGCTGGCTCAATCCGTTGCGTTTTTCGATCAGCGTGCGCAAGCTCTCTATTGAATTTGTACATGATGCCACGTACAGACCAGTGTTGCTATGCCGCAAAAACCGCTTCACAGACGGAAAATGAAAATGAATATTACCATGGCATCTATTCTTAATAATATCTGGAAAGCGCTTAGAGATGGTATTTTGTTTGAACCGGTAATATAAATCCAGATTCTATCACTCTCTATACATTTCTATGCTTTCACATTTATTGCAGGTGTTACAAAGGTTGTTGACCTCTGTGCTGCGCCAGGGAGTTGGAGCCAGGTCCTTAGCCGTAAACTCAGGTAAGCTTTACTGGTACTTGAAGAGATTTGGTGAAGAAACATTGCCCATCCCAATAGACCATTTTCGTAATGTAATCAAATTTAAAGCATATTATGTCTTTGTGAAGTTTCTCAATACAAATATTTCATTGATCTGTTATGAATAATTGTATTTCAATATTCGGAATGCAAAATTCATATTAATAAATGTGTTGTTAGGTAGGCAAACCATAGTGTTTGTCCTACCTGGCAACAGCTAATTAATATGCAGTTCCCGTTCTCACTATTAAATACAAATATTTGTAACAGATAAATGGAATACCGGTAATTTGTTTTGAGGCACTTCACAAAGACGAATGTATTAGATTTGGTTACGTCACTGCATAAAATAATGTTAGATTATGTCTGTGTTTCAGGGATTTGCCAAAGTAATTGATACAAGAAAATATAAAACTGAAGGAAACTATTCATTTAGCTCTGAAAAATTCAATTTAAAAAAAATAATTAGCATATATTTTGTCTTTCCTTTGTCATCAATATCATTGTTTAATAGGATGTGTAGAAAGTCTTGTAATTGCATTCTGTATGATTGACAACAATGACAAGTATTTTCACTTCAATATACTAGTAGTTCCTTATAACACTCATCTTTATTGGTCTGTGTTGTAAAAGAATTGTCCATGAAATGACTGGGCCCTTTTAGAGCTTTTGAAGACAAGAGGGGGAGGGGGGGGGGGGGGGCTAGAATGATGACCCCTGGAGATTTTGTAAAGTTTGTTAAACTTGATCTATCTAAAGATGTGAAACGTGTTGCAAAGTTATCATCACAAAAAGGAGGGGGTCGGGCATGAACGAGAGCCCCCAGTTGGACAAGGAATTAAGAATTTTCTCATCACTTGCTCTGAAATTCACAGACCTTTAATATATAACTTTGTTTGAACTTGTTCTCATTTTGTGAGCAGAAAAGAAGATGGATCCTATGAAGGGACTAAGATTGTAGCAGTAGATCTTCAGGCCATGGCTCCTCTTCCCGGTGTCATACAGTTACAGGGTGACATCACAAAGGTAAGGTCCAACCCACCTTGCATACCTGCTTTTTGGTACAGATTTACCGCATATTGCCAGTTATACTGCCACTGCAAGTGCGATTTCTTATTTTCAAAGGCATACCGTGCTAAAAATTCCTAATTCTTATTTTCAAATGTTGGCAGGTTATGACCTTGTGATAGTGGCTATATTTACATACAGGCTCCCTGTCTGTAGTGGTCATTACTCATATGCTGTAACACCAGAGATTTTCCCTGTATGAAATGTTTCGATTGGTTCAGACTGATGAAAGATTCATGCTGTGAAATCATTTGAATCACAATAGACACAATAAAGTGGTGAAGTGTGACGTCATTAAAAATCTATTTTTTTAATTTATTCTATTTTTTGTCATTTTCCGAAAGAGCATCAAAAATAAAGTCCAAATGTTGAAAGCCAATTGAATATGTTAAGTATTGGCTGAGATATGACCATCTGGATTTCCTATAGTAGTTCAGTGTTATTTTGCTCTGGTTTAGATAAAAGTGCTGAGCTGGGGCTCGAACTCACAACTTTTGCATTTGCAGTTCAGTGATTAAACCAATCGACTATGATACCTGTACAAATGCAAATACCCAAGTACATGTATAACTTGATCCCATATACTTGTAAGGCAGTAGTAATGAGTATGTAAGGATTAAGATTAAAACTCTGCTGTTTCTTTCACTGTCTTTCAGGAATCGACAGCCAATGAAATCGTGTCTCACTTTGAAGGAGAGAAGGCTGACCTGGTTGTATGTGACGGCGCCCCTGATGGTAAGCTTCGAATGTGACAATACATGTAGGCACTTTAAGATTTGCATGACAAGATAGTGGACTGCTACGTGTGACGTCCTTATAAGGCACTGTGTAAGGACGTGACGCGTAGCAGTCCACTATGTCGTTGTGCAAAAATACATGGGAGCAGTGAGTGATTTAGCTCTCAAAAGCACCAAAAGAGCTTTGGTAGATTGAAAAAGAGCCATGAGAAAATCCCACATATACAAACACTAAATCCTAAAAGAACTCCCACCAACAGAAAAGTATAGTATTACAACAAGGAACTTAAACATTCACTTTTTATTTTCATTTTGAGGTGAAAGGTACATTTAAGTACCCTTGGGATAGACTTGCTGGTACTCCTTCTAAACATCCCATGCTTTAGTGAGAACCTTAGGCTTGCATCAAGTGGTGTCGCGACATCAATGACACTTCCTTAAACATTGCAGAAGCTCATTATCGTAATCAGCATTAGTATTTTGTACTTATTCCAGCTTCCATGTTTTGCTATCGTCTTGAGTATTTGAGAGATCTTGTACAGTGTACTGCATATCTTCTTTTCTGTATGCATGTTTTGTTGCTATATTTGTTTTTAGTTCTCCCTGTGTTACTCTTTACTCATTAGTTCCCCTTCTTTTTAATTTTCAGTTACAGGCCTGCATGACATAGATGAGTACATACAAGCACAGCTTCTATTAGCAGTAAGTATTCATGGTTATTAAAATAAAAAAGTTCCTTGAGTGTCAGAACATGGTGGATATAGATGCTATACAAATACCCACTTTTGTTTAGCCATTAACATGCCGTGGTATCATTGAATTTGCCATTACTGCACCTGGGGGTCCTTTCATCTTTGTCTGTGACCTATGGAGATCTCAGGAAGCGGACAACCCTTTTCCCAAAACAAATGATAACCGACATATTCATGATTTAACTTCCTCAATACCATAATGTTGCCTACTCAATCAAATCTTTAAAGCGGGACTGCACTACTTGTAGCTACTTGCAGCCTCTATATAGCCAACAATAAAGAGGTACGGTCTATTGATCCCCATGGTCCTCTTTTTCTCATGTTAATTGAGAGCTGATTTGATGAGATAACCACCTGCAAGTGACCAAGCTGGGAGGTCTTATCCCTCCTGGCCAATCTAGTGCAGATAGGATTTAAGATGCAGTATTGAAATGGATTAAGTTCACAGAGAACTCTGATTTTATGTTTTTAATGACCAATTGCCGTGAAATTTGCTGTGGACAGCATGAAACGGAAGATGTTTTGAATTTGGAAACTGTAATTGATAGCAAGATGCTAAACACTACAGTAAATTGATAGTCTTTTTGATTCGATGTCTCAAAACCTCTATAATTTTTGCAACTCTGACGATGTAATTGATAGGTTAAAGAGCTTATTTCTTGGACTATTTTTATTGATATATAAGCCTTTGCTTGAATACTTAAAAGCTTGGGATCTGGACTTTCTGAAATTGTGATAATCCCTTGACAATTAATGAGGATTTTGAGCAAATATGTCACAGTCTGTATTCCTGGGGAAAATGCGGATACATATTCATGTAACTTTGTTATTTCTTTGCAGGCTCTAAACATCACTACTCACGTACTAAAACCACAAGGCACATTCGTTGCTAAGGTAAAGCCATGTGTAATTATCTAGTACTCGATGTGACAGTATAAGTTATTTAAATGATAAATAATGATCAGATAAATTTATATAGCGCAGCTAATATAACAATATACTCTACTCCGCTGTGATGAAAACAGCACTATTTTACAAACACGCAATAGAAAAACCATTCAGAAGCTCCTGAAAACAAGTGCATCTTCAACAAACCTTTGAAGACACCAATTTATTAAGCTGTTCTTAAAGGGGAAGTCCACCCTGAAATTAAGTTAGTTTTAATAGGAGTAGAAAAATGAGAGAAACAAGTCGGTGAAAGTTTGAGCAAATTCCGATTAAAAATAAGGAAGTTAGGATTTTTGAAGTTGTGATCAATCAAACACAAATTGGCAACTCTATGACGTATCATGCGAGCTAAACTTCCATTTGCTCAGTACTAAAAAAATCTAAAATTTTCATTTTCCCTCAAGAAAAATTTCAACCATACATGCACCCTAAATATAATAATTGCAAATATGTTTCTATACTCCCCCTGCAAGGAACAAATATATATTCCGTCATCAATAACGAAGAAAACATGATTTTATGGAATATTATGCACAAAGCAAATGAAGGAGAGCTTGTATAATAAGTCACAGAGTTGCCAATTTGTATTTGATTGATCACAACTTCAATAATTCATAACTTTCTTATTTTCATTCAGAATTTGCTCAAACTTTCACTCACCTGATTTTCTTATTATTCTGCCTCTATCGAAACAAACTTATTTTGGGGGTGGACTTTCCCTTTAAGTTTAGTGGTAGGATATTTGAAAGCTTTGCAGTGGTGAAACTGAGAGCACAATCTCCAAGAGTTATTTTTGTTTTTGTGTGAGGTAGTTTAGAAACAGCTTGGTCTGTGTACTTTGTAAGTAGTACTATTGACATTTTTCTTGTGGCAAAAGATATTGAACAAATGGTGATCTGTTTTTTAAAGTTTGGCGCTTAATTCATCATCTTGTCAAAGTTGAGCATGCTAGTGATTATATTTCAGGAAGAATTATTTAAAACAATATGCCATGAAATTGCATACATATAAGGTAGTTATGGAAGTATACAAATAATGGGTACTCTTTGGCCTGCCTTTATCACCAAAATATTAGAATGATCGCCCAAATGTCGTAATATAGCCTCTTCAATTGAAAATGTGTTGGACAGTTTCCATGTTTCCAGTCTACTGTTAGAAAATATGAACTCAATGAGAATGCATAAAGGTATTCAAGTGGAATACTTTCCCTAGAATTAACGGTATGATAGAATTTGCATGTTTGATGAAGCATTATATTATTAGGATTAATGTCAAGTAACTATTATAATCATTGTAATGTACTATGATATAAAATAGATTTCCTCAAGCAGCTTAATGTATTATTATATATGATAGATTTCCCCAAGTAGCTATTATGATTCCGGTATTATAATGTATTATTATTATATATAATAGATTTCCTCAAGTGGCTATTATGATTATTGTAATGTATTATTATATATAATAAATAAATTTCCTGAAGTAACTATTACAATTATCATACGTATTAATATTATTATTATTATTATTATATGTACTAGATTTTCAGAGGGAAGGATGTAACCTTGCTATACTCACAACTCAAGATCTTCTTTCCCCAAGTCACCATTGCCAAGCCAAGAAGTAGCAGAAACTCAAGCATAGGTAGGCTATACTAACAATAACAGGATGATTACATGTCAGAATTAAAGGTTTATAGAGAGTATTGGTCAAGGTTTTATCTGTATGGAAATCTGGTGTGTAGTGGATGACCAAATCAATCTCCCCAGATTTCTGTAAATAAACTTTAATAAAAGCTATTTTTACAAGACCCCATAATATGGAAATTTGCCAACCTGTACGTATCTGGGCCCTGTCTTTAATATAAAAAGTCCAATCAATCAGAATTTTTGCAGCCTCCTATCTCTTATGTACATAATTGCGAATGATATCAATTGCAACTAAGTTGCTAGTAATATCAACTCTTTATAATACTAGGCCCTGTTTTCCCCTATAAATAGATAGAAGCTCTTTGGAAATTCATAATCATCCTTTACTCAAGATATATATTTTAGAAGCTGTTAAATTCATGCTTCAAAAGTTTGAATTGATACACCTGTAATAACTCTTTACAAAGCTGATAATTTAGAGGCACCATTGTTTTTTCATTGTGATGCTTTATTTAAAGGTACTGATAATTATCACAATGAGTGCCATTGAATTTTGTTGTTGTTGTTGTTGATTGCAGAGGCCTTTGTTGTCTGTCAGCGATACGCCCCTCCTGTTGGCTATGTACCAAACATGTCCAACCCCTTATTGGATCAGAAGTATGGTAAGTTTACTCTTCTTCCAGTAGTAGAAATGTGAGAGGGAGGGGAGGGGGGCAATTCACTTCTTCCTTAATTTCAGCTCAAAAGGGGATGTCTAGTCTAGATCAGCTTAGTTTAGGTTTAAAACAAACACAAAGTCATTGGCCTAAAGTCACAGAAATTTTCAGTTGGTTAATTTACCCTCCTTCCAGTAATAGTGAGGTGAGAGGGAGTCGATGGGAATGAGGGCAGTTCACTTCATACTTGCTGTTCAGCGATAATCAATCAACATCAAATAAACATGAACCGGGACGGGACGGGGGCGCATATCAGCTGTCTGACATATACGAGGCAGTAATGGCTAAAACAAATACTAGCGATTGGGAATTTGGCGGCATGCTTCAGTCTGCCAATTTGCGTTTGAGGAAGATGCCTGAACTTCCGACATCAAAACTGTTACAAGTCATTTTTACTTTTGGATGTGATATAAGAACTTTCAAACCAAACTCTTTAATAAAAACATAATCATTGGCCCAAATTCACAGAAATAGTTATATACAACCCACAGTCTTACTCATGGTTTAAACCTGGACTGTGTACCAGACTAAACATCGATAATTTATAGAAGCATATCATCATCTGACACTTGAGAGGAGGACAAGCTCATACCATTGGTCAAGATAAATCTCTTTGGTGAATTCTGGCCAACTGTCTGTGTATGCAAATTACATCCAACTTTTATTTTGAAAATTTTAATTTGGATCAATCCCAACTCATCATGGAACAGCTTCCTGGTATCATCTATCTCAATTCACCAGTTACACAGCACATGTATGGATGCGTTGACATGTCATATATACTTGCTGCTATGTCAGGCATATGTAAGTTAACCTCAGAGCGACTTGTATTTAAAAAATACAGATAAAATTGGCATACAGTAATAAACTAGTCTATTGCTATTGAAATAAAGATGAATGCCATTGACTTCACCACAGATACCGACTTCAACAATCTGGAGGGCCCGAACCGTGTGATTGTACCATTTCTTGCTTGTGGTGATCTTAGTGCCTATGACTCTGATAGGAATTATCCTTTAGAGGTAAGGAATAAAACATTTTTGTCATTGTAGATTACTGAAGTGTGACGACATGCAGTTGTCAAGGTTGCTGGTTTCAAACAATTTTGTGCTTAACAATGGCGTGGTGATCACACAATCGCCAAACACTGAATTTACCTTGTTCCAGCCCGTTGCTTGAACACTTTGTATGGTGAACTTCATGTGGAGGCTCTATTCTCTGGAACCAATAACTTGACGACAAGCAAATATGACGTTAGCACATCGGTACTGTATAGAAGCTTTTATTCCACCATACCCTAAAAGTCAATTCCAAATTTCTAATTTGATTATGTATATTCTAGAGATAGATATTGAACATAAAGCTGCTAACTTTAGACCAATTTTGAAAAGGTTTTACATTCGCAGACATTTATTTGGCTCAAGCTAATGTTGGGTATCGGCCATGTACTGTACAGGCTTTATGAAATATCAAAGTATGAAATTCACATAATCTAGGTGAAAGAAAATAACATACAATTAAAAGCACTGAGTGATCTTTTACTTCTATTGCATAAGGATGGAACGTTTTGGTTCCAAAACTTTATACTTGTATGGAAGTGTGATTTTCATTTATAATGATTATGTACTCTAACTTCTTATAATTTTCTGATTATTTAAAAAAAAACATGATGATCCTATTTCTATAACCATTTTTACATTGCAAACATTTTGCAATTAGTCCCTGGACTTCTACTTTATATTTGTAATAAACCACAATGTAAAGTGCTTAGAGACGTCTAAGATATATTAAGCGCTATATAAAAGCTGAATATTATTATTATTAATACCTGCACACAGATCAAGCCAGGAGAAGGGTACACCTACCATCCACCCACACAGCAACCAATCAATCCTCCTTACAAGACAGCTTGTGATATGAAGAAGAAAGATCAGCTAGCTAAACCTGTCACATCCATGGCCAGGTCAAGAGAACAGGTGGGTTCTTCCAGCATAGCACAGAATGAATCTTTGGCCTTTGACCTTTGACCTTTGCTCTGATGGCAATTGCTCTGACCTTAATTTTGTCAAAGATATAGAGCTAGGGTTAGGATTACAGTTGGGTTTTATGCTAGGTTTGGGGTTAGGATCATGAATGTGATTGGGTTCTAGGTTAGGGTTAGGGTTAGGGTTGGGAGTGCTAATACGGTTTAATGTTGGGTGTACGGCTGGAATTTCAGTTGCGGTAAAGGTTAGGTTTAAGGTTTTGATTGTAGTTTAATGTGTTAGGTAAAGTTTAGGTTTAGGGTTAGGTTTATTGTTGGTCCAGAGTTGAAATATGGAATTAGCTTATGTAAACAATTTGACAGGGGAGCAATTGTCATCAGAACATGGGTGGTACAACTGCTACAGGAGCAATGAAAAGAGCTTCAGATTGACCCATGGCTCCATCTTCTAATCATACAGGAGATAGATCTTTAGAGAAAGCAGTTGGACTTGTTCGTTTTCATGTCATGCCTTATATTTAACTGCCTCAACTGCAGTCAACTTTGATATTTGCTATCATGTGGTACAAGAATCAGGCAATATTTTTCCTTCAGCTTTGGTCAGAATATCTGATAAGAGCTTCAAAATATTAGCCAATGATGTTTCAGAGAAATTTATTTCACTTTATAAATGCTTGTTTCGTTTTTGTTTTTTCTCCTCTTTGAAATGGTCCAGGTACAGGGTGATCAGGCAATGGGGCAGGAAGGGAGGAGGGAGGACAGAAGGAGTAGCGGTGGAGAGAAACGGTTGAACAGGGTAGAGGGAGCTGAGGCCACGGACCAACAGGGGATGGATCTCTTGGGCGCCTGCAGCTCCAGCCGTGGACTTGGAGGATCCGTGCAAGGCGGGGACACGGCACATGGAGGGAGGGCTCCCGATGTCCTGGACATCAGGAGGGGCTTGCCCACCCGGAACGTGGAGAGCGGAGAGGAGGAGGGGCAACATAGAGTGCTGGAGGTGAGGGGAATGTTCCCTCCTGATCTTATAGGTGGAGCAGCACAGGACGGTGGGGTTGAGGACGCAGCTGTGGGAGACTCCGATGTCTCCAGGAGAAATGCTCCTGCAGGAGTGGAAGCTCCTGGAGGAGCTGGTGGAGCTGCAGGTTTAAGAGCAGAAGGATCCATGCCTGGACTAATAGAAGGAGCCATTGGAGGGTATGAGGTTGGAGCTGTAGGTGGATCATTAGATGGAGCAGTAGGAGGAGCCGCAGCAGCAGGAGGAGAAATGGGAAGAATACCTAGTTCTATAGAAGGAGCCATAGGTGGTGCCGAGCAGGAACCGTCAAACAGAACTTTACCAGAATCTTATGGAAGAGCTGCAAGTATACCTCCAGTTCCCTCTCCAAATCAAATATTAGATGGATCTTTACTAGGTGCAGTAGGTGGACTAGACATCAGCGCACCTATTGATGTTGTTCAGCTTGGTGTGCCAACCGGTCGCGGTGCTGCTTATCCATTAGATGTCATTGGTGATATAAATAGTCAAAGCAGAATCGCTAGCTCGAACTCTGTAAGACCCCGTGTTCCTAGGCAGCCGAACAATGACCAAGGGCCATCCAGGAGGCCTCTTAATGACCAAGAGCCATCCAGGATGCCTCAAGGCATTGGTCTTGACATTGTAGACTTTGCAAGCGGTCAAGTAACCCCACCTGGCGGAGTGCCGTCATCGAACAGAAACTCTGGGAATGTGCCTTCCAATGGAAGCTTTGACCAAGAACGAAGAACCAGGCAAGCTGGCTGCCAGCGAGGGCCTCCGCCCGATGTAACAGGTGTAGACCCCGGGATTGTGGGACAGATTAATGATCTTCATGTAGATGATAACAATAGGCCGGCTAGGAATGATGCTGAGGACTGGGTATAGATCTCTGAATCCACCTAACAACCAGGGCCATTTCACAAAACTTGTCATCAGTGACAAATGGCAGTTTTTGTTATAAGCTACTGAAATCATTGCTTTTGATTGGTTATCAGCAGATATGTCACTGATATTTGTCAGTTGACATTGAAAAAAGGGCTTTGTGAAATGGGGCCCAGAACTCTGATTGAGACATTGTTATTACCAATATCTAGTAGATATGTACATGTCCGATGTTACCCTCTTTGCCCCTCTATGAGTGGTAACTTGGGTCGAGTATGGAAACACAATGTATTTGATACTGGCACTTTTTCAAAATATTACAGTAAAATTTATCTTAAAAATGGTGAATGCATTCTGATAATCAATTTATGTGATTTTCCCATATTGAAAGACAATTGCAGTGATGAGCGAGTGACATAATTTTTTATGTGCAGCAATACATTGTCCCCTTTTCATCATGTATTAATATCACAGAAAAGACAATTCTATTTGAATACATTCAGTAATATCGTCAGTTTTATTCACCACCCTGTAAAATGTTGGGTTTGATGGACAGTTGTGCATTACCATTTTGTAAAATGCTGCATGTGCAAGACTTTCAAGCAAATATGCTAATGTTTGTAGTTTATTTCATAGTGTCTTCTAGAAGAAAATTGCACAAGTTTATTTATATAACCACAATTTTTCCTAACTCATATTTATTAAAACAGCATAATATGTAGCACTACATGATAGTACAATAAATATATACAACATTCAGTTAGACTAGGATAAACATTACTTTTTATAAGAAATGAATTTCATTAGCATACCGTAAACAATTTTTTTTTAAAGGGCTATGACCCCTTTTCTTGCAACCCCCAAGTTCAAATTATGCATTCATGTCATGATTGGGTGAAAATCAAATTACTACTTTTATGTGGAGCTTGTATGGGAGCACGAGATGGTTATTGCAAGGGATTATATTTTATTCTGAGCTACCCTTATTGTAAATGATATTTGCATTACATGATGCATTGCTAATATTCTTGAATTAATCACAATTTTGTTTTTAGTTCATGAAATACAATGTCGTTACAATTACTACTTTGTGTTGTGTGGGCTTATCTTATTTCTAAATGCTTAGGGTCTTATAGTTCGTGCCTGTATATAATTTTTTGTAACCAGAGAAAGTATATGACAAGTACTGTGAGAAATCATGAAACAAAATATGTAAATCATTTCACCTGTTCATTCAGCTTTGAAATAAAGATATGTTTATTCATTCCAAATACATACAGCAATCTCTACCTATGATTCATTAGTTTCAACAGACAATTCAAATGCACATTGGCAACTGTGACATAAGCATTTCTCCTATTTGGTTTGTACTGCAATTTCCAAAAAAATCTTATTTGATGATGTGGGAGTAGAGCTATATCATAAAGGGTTTGTTTCAAATGTGTGCAATTATTGTATTAAAAGACAAAGTTGAGTTCTGGTCATGCGATTGCATTGTGAAAGAAACATTATGGAATTGATCAGAACAGGTTGTCATGTAGCATAAAAGTATTGGTGTGTACTACTGCAAGGTTCTGGAATCATCAAAATGATAAGAAATTTGGCCCAGTCTTGGTAAAGTTACAAGCACTGGACACAGAAAGATGTATATGGGACTACATGAACACGTGGCATAAAAATCTGTCCCGATATTTATGATGTTACGTGCCATATTTAGAATATTAAGGCATTTGAAGAGCCATGCTTTTCAGGGAACATTTTTATCTGATATTCTTCCACACTCGCATAATACAATGATAACGCTCACAAGTTATTTTTCACCTCTTCCCAGAACTCAACCTTCTCTTTAAGATGCAAGTAGAAATATGATTTTATTATGAGAAACTGAAAGTCACAATTTTTGTTTTTTCATACAGAGAAAATAGGACAGATCCTACAAAGTGTACTCACTTAGTTGCCAATTTGCATTTCATTTATTAGAGATTTTGAAATTCAAACATGATGATAAAAACTTTGAAGAAATCTATTTTGAGGCAGTTTCAATACTCTAATTGCACTGGCTATAGAAATCGTATTCAGATTATGTGATAAATGTCATGACAGAATCTCTCTCTCTCTCCCTCTCCCTCTCTCTCTCTCTCTCTCTCTCTCTCTCATTTTCCACCTTTAGAATTTATTAATATCGGGTGGACTTCCTCTTACAGTAGAAAAGTACTGATATCCCTATTTTTGTTACTTCCTCGTGGATGTTACATGCTATTATTTTTAGGTTCTGAAATTGATAATTGTCTTTATATAAAAAAAAATATACAGTGCTTATTTTTAATTATTGTCACAACTCACAACAAGTGGCATGGTTATTTTCACTTTTTTGTTCTCCTTTTTCTTCTAGTTTCTTTCTATAGTTTCCCTATACTTTCATGTACATGTTGTCTTGAATTTAGATACATGTATTATAACAAATAGAGCATGGTAGGAGAGAGAGAGAGAGAGAGGGGGACAGAGAAAGAAAAAGGGGCTACAGATTTTATGCAAACAAGAAGAGGGTTAACTTAATATCGGGGTGGACTTCCCCTTGCAGTAGAAAACTACTGATATCCCTATTTTTGTTACTTCCTTGTGGATGCTATACTATTATTTTTAGGTTCTGAAATTGATCATTGTCTATATACTTGACAATATATAGTGGTTATTGAAGTATTGTCACAGGTCCCATAAGTGGCATGGTTATTTTTACTTTTTTGTTCTTTTTTTCCTTCTAGTTTCTATCATGTTTATACTTTCATGCACATTTCTTGAATGTGATAAGAGAGAAAGAGAGAGAGAGAGAGAGAGAGAGGGGGGGGGGGGACAGAGAAAGAGAAATGGGCAACAGATTATATGCAAACAAGGAAAGGATAAATGAGAGAGAGAGAGAGAAGGGAGTGGGACAGATAATTAATTGTGAAGAAAAAACAATTTAAACATGTATACAAAATGATTGATGGTTTATAGACAAAAATGCAAGATTGAGAATGAAAACACGCATCACAAAAATATATAGATATCACTCAATTATTTTCACCCTTTTTTGTATGACACTTATACTGCACTTGGCAGAAAAACGAAACTAAGCTATATTTGTGATAAGTACTTGTAGATAATAGATAAATAGATATAAACCTTTTTGATTTGATTTGATATGAAGTGCATTTCGAGTGGTCACTGACACTTCATATACACGTATATATATTTATAGGTTTTGCATTTCTCGTTGGGAATTGTATTTGAACTGCACATTTTGGAAAAGGATACAGTTTACTGTAGGAGAAACGAATATTGTTTGATCATGAATGAGGTGGATGGATCTATTTCGACCATACTTAATAGCCAAATCAAACCGAATATATAATTACAAAACAAAAGAAAGAAAGTAGAGGGATGGAAAGAAAAAAAGAAAGTAGAAAAAAGAAAGAAGGAAGGAAATCAGTTATGCGCTAGGTTTAAAAAGTAGAGGACAAACTCGGGCAAAGAATAAAGGGGGCAAGATTGATTCTCATTTGCCAGATTTTTTTCTCGATTGCCAAATGGAAAAATTGTAGGGGACTGGTTTGTATGCCTGCTTGTCCGCCTATTACCAAATTATTTGGTAATAGGCGGACTTATCGTTTCTTTAAATAAATTGTGATTCTTAGAAAAATATCTCGCGATTCCATGAATACAAGTGTAATAAAGAGTTTGTAAAGTCGCTTTAAACAGTTTGTAAAGTCGCATGAATGTAGATTCATGTATTATAACAAAGAGAGTGTGGCAAGAGAGAGAGAGAGAGAGAGAGAGAGAGAGAGAGAGAGAGAGAGAGAAAGGGGGAGGTGGAGAAAGGAAATGAAATACAGAGAGAGAGAGAGAGAGAGAGAGATGGGGACAGAGAAAGGGGCAACACATTGCAAACAAAGGAGAAGGTAAATGAGAAAGAGGGGGGGGGGGGCAGAGAATAAAGAGTGAAGGAAGAACGATTGATAGCTTATAGACGAAAAAGCAAGATTGAAAATGAAAAAAATACATCATAAAAATATTTAAATAGGTGGTAACACTCATTTATTTTGTATGACAAAAATATCGCACTTGAAAGACAAAAACAGAACTAATTATCTATTATGTGATAAGTACTTGTAGATAATAAATAAATAGATATAAACCGTTTTCTAGTATTTCGAGTGGGCACTTGCAGTCCACACATGTATATATATATATATATATATATATATATATATATAGGTTGCATTTGCATTTGCATTTGCATTTCTCGTTGACAATTTTATTTGAACTGCACATTTTGGAAAAGGATACAGTTTACTGAAGGAGAAACAAATAATGTTTGATCGTTAAGGAGGTGGACATCTATTTCGACTTTACTTAAAAGCCAAATCAAACCGAATCAAACCAAAGAGAGAATTACAAAAGAAAGAAAGTAGAAGAACGTAAGAACGTATAGAAGGAAAAAAAGAAAGAGTAGAAGGAAAGAAAGAACGGAAGAAAGTAGAAAAAGAGAAACAAAAAGAAAGAAAGAAAGAAGGAAGGAAAATCAGTTAAGCACCGGGTTTTAAAAGTAGAGGGCAAACTCGGGGCAAAAAAGGGGGGGGGGGGGGGGGGCCGGGGGCAAAATTGCTTCTTGATTGCCATATGGAAAGTTGTAGGGGACTGGTTTGTATGCCTGCTTGGTCAACATTGCAACATTGGGTAATATGCGTGTGTGTATTGGGTTTTTACAGACGTACCTTTAAACGTCACCATCCGAAAGACGCGACTCAGTTTCGAGCCTGCGTCCTCGGTTGAATCAGCTTGTAACTTCTTCCATTGTTAGCTTGATTACAGGCGCACGCCACGACGCCTAGTAATAGGCGGATCTATCGTTTCTTTAAATAAATTGTGATTCTTTGCACGATGGCGTTAGAAAAATGTCTCGTGATTCCATAATACAATGTGAAATAGAGAGTTTCTGAAAAGTCTCATTAAAATTTCCCATCTGGTTCACACTTTTTATAATATTATATAAATAAAGATCAGCTGGTCATCTTCTCGTGTTCCTTTTCCCAATTTGTTGCATTTTAATCGGGGTATACCCCTCCCCTATTTCGCACCCCGTTGAAACGTACAAGTAAAGGAAGAGAGGGAGAGAGGGAGAAAGAGAGATCGAGAGAGAGGGGAGAGAGAGAGGGAGAGAGAGAGAGAGAGAGAGCAATGTTCCACATAAGATTATTAATTTAATTACACAATGGGAGAGAGAGAGAGAGAGAGAGAGAGAGAGAGGGAGAGAGAGAGAGAGAGAGAGAGAGAGAGAGAGAGAGAGAGAGAGAGAGCAATGTTCCACATAAGATTATTGATTTGAATAGACAATGTGCTCGAGTGAGTATATACTTCATGCTGCTCAACTCTTTTCAAGTACACATGGCAACTCCCAGAGATTTTTCTGTCATACTTTACCAACCAAATAAAACAATATTAGTATTTGTGGTTGCCACTAATGCTTATTTCAGGCCAAATATGAAGTGAAATGATACATTCGAAATTCGATGTCAAATTATGGTTAGAACTCATCAACGTTTGGTAGAAGAACTCCTTAATACTTGGATTTATTGGATTTTGAAAATAAAAGTTAATCGTGCATTCTCAGACTTTACCGTATCGTATACAATGAATTTACATTTTCAAAGCTATATACATGTATACAAAATATTATATTTTATTTTTATCTCTTTCTACAATCAATAGAATACGTTTGATTTGTACGAGTTGATTGAAACCGAGTTACCATATTCTCTGCAGGGTATTTGCATAGGCTACATATCCCACATAATGACAAATTAATTTGTTACCAGTTTTGAATATGCAATATAAATTCGTATTCTCATCACTTATCCGAGTGAAATAAAATTGTCAACATTTCTGAGAACAAACTTGGTCAAACACCATCGCACGGCAATGGTATATAATCATAAACATATAGCCTGACAATATGCCAGTTTATGCTAAGGTTCTTTTAGAATGCGTCAATCCTTCATAGATTATGCCTTTGCGGGATGGAAGAAAACTGAGAAAGATAACACTTTGGTTTTAAACATTTAAGTTATCAGTAGCATTCGTCTGAACCAGAGCAAGACAGTTATAATTTACATCGGTATCTGCAACGGCTCCTAGAGCTCGGGAGCTACGTTTACTAAAGTTAAACACTGACGATTCATTGATGTGTTGCGGCCTGGAAATGTTGTCTTTCGAACTTCGAATAGATTTGCACAAGAATGCGCGTCTGAATTCTCGATCCCTGTAGCAATAAATGCACGGATTTACAGCGGAACTCAAGACGACTGACAGAAGACCAGCCACTGCGAGGACATCTCGAAAGATGATACCACCGATATTAGCCAGTTGGACCACGAAGTAGCCGTAGATTGGTATCCAACACATGAGAAAAACACCGACGACCATTGCGGTTGTCTTGACTGCCTTCAGTCGACCATCCTGCAGTCCTGGATGTCCAAGATTCTCTAAGGCATCTCTCTGGCCAGAAATGGCTTTGGACTGCTTCATGGCAATGTACAGGATTCTGATATTAAACACGACGAGCAAGGGAGTCAGGACGGAGATGAAAGCAAGGATGGACCAGGTCTGGACTCGTGCTAGTGGTGTTTCGAATTCATCCGCTTCACAAATAATCGCCCAGCCATCACTTCTGTTTCTCACGACAGAGACGGTAGTACGAATGGCGAGCCCGACCACACAAAGCACCCACATAAAAACTATCCCAAGACCGACGCGCTTGTGCGTCACCAAGCCCGCGTAACGTAGTGGTCTCGTTATCGCGATATGACGATCAACCGTCACAGCTACAATATGGAGAAAGGCTATTCCGCTGAACACGACGTAGGGGAGGGTTAAAACAATGGACGTGGTTGCTTGAGGAGTGAAGATTTCGTAGAGAGCAAAGCTTTGCAAGGGACAAGCTACCAAGCCCGTCAGAAGATCAGCTATAGCAAGGCTTGTGAGAATGAGGTTGGTTGGAGTCCGTAGAGCTCGTTTCCTGTAGACCGCGGCAATGACCATTGAGTTACCAACAATGACACACACTGCCAGAGGGACCATGGGTATCGTGTAGGCAAGGAATATTCTCAAGTCTGTCATGTTCCCCGCAGTTTGGTTGAATTTGTTTGGGCATCCGTGAATAGGTTCATCCATTTCGAACAGCTGATCTCGTTTCGCAAGTGATGATCTCGTCACACAATCGATGATTTCGTCATAGAATAGATGATTTGTTTTGATTTGATTTGACTTGCAATGGATAACTGATAGTTTCGACGCACAGCTGATGATATAAATATTTTGTCACAACACTTATTATCTAGTCACGCAATTGATTGTTCTAGCATACACTTGACTGTCCTGTCTCTCATGATTGATGATCTAGTCGCATACTTGATGGTTTCTTCACAAGATTGATGTTCTCAACGATCACTTCAAAAAACGTATGATCTCGTCATCCGGTTGACAATATCGTGATACAACTTCAAGGTTCCTCTCATAATCGATAATATGGTTATTCGGTTTAATAAAATTTGGAGTGGACTATTAGGCTATTATTATTATTATTATTATTATTATTATTTCTTCACACTATTGATCGTCCACCCTGATAAGTGATATTATAAATAACAATTTATAACATCGTCACACAATGATATCATTACTTATTTAATGGTTTCGTTTCCAGGTTGCTGGTCTCTTAACACATTTGGAGATCTCGTCACGCAAATGATAATCTTGCCAAACAATCGCTAAATGAATGATCTCGCCACGCGGTTGACGATATCGTCGAACAGTCGATTATCTCGTCACCCAATTAACAATATCATCAACTAATTGAAAAACGTCACTCAAATTGTGATTCCTTGATAATATTGTCTAACTCTTCAACAATTTATCATATCGCCACTATTTGAGGACGTTGTCAAACGAGTGAATCCCGTCACCAAGTGGTGGTCTCGTCACACAATTGATAACCTCGTCACACAGTCTACAATCTCGTAAACAATGGATGATCTCAAACCCTTGTAAGTGATTATTCCGTCACCCGGTAGATAATTTCGTCATCAAGTCAATTTTTTCGTCACACTATTGACGGTTTCGTCACGTAGCTGATAATCCGTCGCCAACCAGTTGTTGCTAAACGAACGATTTCGCCACCCAACTGATCGTCACATCAGAATGTTAGTAATCTCGTCTCATTATTGAGAGTCTGGCCATACAACCGACGATTCCTCACCGAACTGATAATCTTTACAAGAAATGATGAACTCTTCATCCAATCTCTTGCAATTGTTTAATGTTCTCGTCGCAAATGAAAAATCTCCTTACATAATTAATACTGTCATTTACACGTACTTGCTGTTTTTGAAAAATCTATTTTCTGAAGTTCATATCTCAAACTGTTGATGTAAAATGTTAAACCTCAACATGAAGAGATAACCCGCGTTTTGTGAGATTACAATCTTTATCAATTATCACTTGCGTTGTCCTCACTTGCAGTTACCGTTGTCAATGAATTTGATAAGCAACGATGTTGGTATAATGCTTCAGATCCACTAACCTTTGAATAGAAATAGCGGGATATATATAGAAAGAGGGAAGATACACTGTGTCTTGATGTTTAGTTTCAAGTGTTATATGATGACCTAGTATTCAGTTTCAGGTGCGATGACCAGCATACGTTGTGTTAGAGTATGTATTTCCGTTACATAGTTTACAGACATATAAGAAAAATACCCACAGATAAAGATAGATGAATTATTTGCACGCATATAGTTTGTATATTAATATTGCTTCCCGAGACGATCCGTTGGTAAAATTAATGAGTAAAAATCAATTAATAAGTAAAGTTTCTAACTCTAGATCTCAAGATGACCACGGATCTATTGCACATTAATGCTGATCATAAATGATTTTTTTTTGACACGTTATCTAACTGACTATCGATTTCATCGTCAGCAACAACCACCATGGATAATAGTAATAAATTGAAGACACCCCCTCCCCCACAACATAATAAGATTATATACATGATATATTAGTGCCTGCAATGTATACGAATCGACATCTCAGTCATTTGGAGTCATCCACATGATATATAGCCATCGTCTAGAGTGGCGTAGCGTCGACTCAGCATTTGAAGGGGCACTGGCATGCATGGGGGAGGGGGCATCGCGGTCTTCCTGGGCTAATTGAGTGTGACTTGACAAGGCCGCTGACTAGGGGGGGGGGGGGGGTCTTAATTTCTCTCACGTTCATTTCTCCATCTCCTTTTTTCTCTCTTTCCTTGCCCTTAATTAACCTTTTTTTAGGTCATAGTTCAATTCGATTTTTTTTCTGGGGGGGGGGGGGGGGAGGGGGTGAAAGCCTCCCCCCCCCCCCCCGCCCCTCCAACTGGAAGTTGAAGGATATTCATCGAAAGCACGTGCTGGCATATCATGAACGATCACAACTACTTCCTCAAAAAGATCACCGTGCTTAACCTTGCATAGTATCACTTTCAATCTTACACACTTGCACTTTTTCGGGGTTCTTCACAAAGTATCACTGTAATTATATCTAGAGGTAGGGAATATTGGATATATGACAAACTCCCCACAAGAAAACAAAATTCAGTCGGAAAATCTGGAATTTTTATGATTTGTCACCAAACTACAAATTTTAATGACCCACCTTTTGTTCATTGGCTTGTAGGGAAATGTTCATCTACATTGTAGGCAACGTTGGTAAAACACCTTCCTCCTTTACAAAGTATCACTGTAATTATATCTAGAGGTAGGGAATATTGGGTATATGACAAATTCCCCACAAGGAAACAAAGTTCTGTCGGAAAATCTGGATTTTCTATGATTTGTCACCAAACTGCAAATGTGAAACAAAGGCTATTTATGTAGCACCTCCATCGCTTTAGGAGTGATTATTTCAAAATGTACAAAGTGGGACCTCTTCATGTTTTGAAGATCTGTGGCTATTCGGGGTCATGTGGGACATGTGCTAACCGTGAACTGGTCTATGGAAAGGAATCTCTCTCACAAACATAGCAGTACACACACATATATACCACATCTTTACATACAAACTATGTAAGCAAGCTCTTTCACTACTACTAGTTCCAATTCCATGGACAGTTTGTTCCCTCCATCAAGCTCAACAAAATACACATTGATATTATTTATTATGCAGTCAATTGTTTTTATTTGTTAATTAATAGTTTTTTCCTTGTTCTTCAGGGTGATGACAACAACCCATGATTGGAGGACTATTCCTATACCGTCCCAGAAAAAACGAAACCGAGAAGTATCGATGTTTTATCATACCTTAATCACAACCATAATTAATTAATGATACATATTTGGAAAGCTTAGAGTCTCCTCTTTCATGTGATGCTACTCAGATGATGCATATTTCACGCATGAGTGATTAAAAGCAATTTGAAGGAAGGAAACCAAAAAGACATTTGGCGGGCGGTATCTGAATTTCGAAGAAAAATTCACATTTCTAGAAAGTTGAGTTTCTGCCCTTTCATATGACACCTCAATCAGGAAAAATGAGCGAGGAATAACAAAGTTCTGTTTGTTTAAAGTAGCCCTTACATTTTCATAATTTTAACAAGCGAATTCGTTTTCACTGGGTGCCTGCCGTAGCAAAAAGCAGATTTGACAAAAGACTTAACTCCGTTTCGTTGACAATCAGCCACGCATGAAGACTCTCGTCTACGGCTGATTGTCAACGAAACGGAGTTAAGTCTATTGTTGATTTCGTTTATTGATACGGCAGGCAGCCAGTGAAAACGGATTCGTTTAATAAAATTATGGAAATGCAAGCACTACTTTAAACAAACAGAACTTTGTCATTCCTCGCTCATTTTTCCTGATTGAGGTGTCATATGAAAGGGCAGAAACTCAACTTTCTAGAAATGCGAATTTTTCTTCGAAATTCAGATACCGCCCGCCAAATGTCTTTTTGGTTTCCTTCCTTCAAATTGCTTTTAATCACTCATGCGTGAAATATGCATCATCTGAGTAGCATCACGTGAAAGAGGAGACTCTAAGCTTTTCAAATACTTCTCGGTTTCGTTTTTTCTGGGACGCACTGTATACCATGCAGATAAAGGAGGAGTCAACATTGAATAATCACTGCGATCATGTTTACAGTCAAACCTGCTATAGAGACCACCTGTAAAGAAAGACCACCTGTCTATAAACACTTCATATTTCATTTCTCAATGTTTTTCATTAAAACATGTGGTGAAATAAACCTCTGCATAAAGACCATCTGCCTATATAAAGACCATTTTTAATGTCTCCCTCGGACGGTGTTTCTATGCAGGTTTGACTGTATTTCAATCATGTTTATACCTCCACACAGTCTGGAACCTCACAGGCTCACACATTGAGTTATATATATCTCAAAAGCTATACTAATCGAACATGAGTATACAGGAACACAGAAAATAGGGGAAAAAAAATCAAATTAACAATCAGCCCGAGATATTTCTAGCTTTTCAGCTGTGCATTTAAAAAGTGGTTATAGTTTGTGCACTAATGTCTGATTAATGGACTTTGCCTTCCAAGACATCACCTTTTGTTCAACAAAATGAAACTATAATTCGATCAATCACATACATGTCACACTTGGGCAAGTCCAAGGTATGCATATGTCCCAACCATTACAAAGTATTATTGAATCGTATTATGGTTTTGTGAACGTAAAACGACACAAATAAATCTTTGTATTTGATGTTTTGTCCGATTCAAGCTCTAGCTAGTAGGGCTACCAGCTTGATACAGTCATCAGGTATCTTAGATGTGGCCGATACAGTAATGGGAAAAAACAGCTTGAGCTGGCCCACATGTAATCCCACATGTAATTCTAAATACATATGTGTTTACTAATCCCTATATGTTTATTTATAAATACATATGTGTTTACTAATCCCAAATCTTTATTTATAAATACATATGGGTTTACTAATCCCAAATGTTTATTTCTAAATATATTTGTTTACTACTTTACCCAAATTCAAAAGCATGTACGGTGCTTGAAAATAATAGTGACGATGACACATGTACCAGTCTTCTGTATACCTTGCTATTCATATACATGTACCTGTCTGACCTTTGACCTTCAATGCACCAAAAAAGCAAAACAAGAACTCTTCTATAACACCTCCGACAATTCTTTGCAGAAGAAGAGATATATTAGGGGAAAGAACGTAAGGAACACACAGCAACTTGAACTGTTTCATCGAGCTGCAGGTAAAATTCCACAGAAACTCAAACCCATGTAAATTTCAAGGCAGCATTAAAATGGGGGAATCCCCGGATTGACTCATGTCATATTATCATCTGCTTTCACTTCCTATGTGTGAGGAGTGTGGAGGCGTGTCACATGCTGTGCACTGACATACATGTAATCAGCTGAGCAATCATGAAGTACTTAGTTATACTTAGGAATCATTACTGTCAGTCAAGGTTGTATCTGACTCATTCATACAATATTAATTATTCCAAAATGCTAAAGAAATACCTTATGTTAAAGATAAAGTTGAGT